TCATCGGAACCCTCCAGCCCGCTCCACTCCCGCTTGCTACGGGACAGCGAGGGGGGCTCCTCACACGCCCACCCACTTCAGCGCAGCGCCTCCTCAGCCAGCGACGTGCCCTCCTCCTTCCGAGCTACCAAAAGCCAGCCCAGGAGCCCCCTTCCCTCCGCCACGTCGCCTTCCCTTTCCTCTTCCTCTCTGTCCTCCTCGGTTCCTTCCTTCAGAGAGCTGCGTCCCCCGGCAACGAGGCCCAAGCCAGTGGTGTTCCCCAAAAGCGGCGGAGGGAATGGCAGTACAGCTATGGGTTCCCCGACATCCACCGTGCCACCTACGCCTCCGCCACCGGGGCACACACATGCTCTCCCTCACGCGCCTCCTCCACCACCTTCATCCCAGTCGAATGACAAATCCTGCCCGGCTTAGCACCTCCTCGCTCCCAGCACAGTCCAAATCGAATCCCTAATGCTTAAACCAGCAGGTCTTCAAGCAGGTGTCGGAAGCACTTAGTTTGTTACGCATCCAGCACATACTAACCCACTACACACTGTAGCATTCAGACGTCACAATCCATTTTAGAGTGTCACAAGGTTACATGGCCAGGTCACTTTTCACTGATCGCAGCACGGAAAGGATTTTCAAGTCTTTCATGAGGGAACAGTCAGATGTGCTGATTAATGGGCACCTGCAACTTTCATACACTAGCTATTTTTAGGGGGGGTGGAAGTATTGCTCTCCTTTACACAGAGATTCACATGAGGAAGAAAGAAAACTTTTTTTTTTCCTTGAAGCGTTTTTAAGACCCTGTAACGATCAAATGGGATTGTTTGATTCCTAAGAAAAGACTGTGAAAAGTTTTAAGCTCTCTTGAAATGAAACACACTGTCTTGCTGCTTCACACATGGAAGACTGGAGAAGAAAAGCTCTGTATTGAAAGACCGGGACAATAACAGCACGAGTGGTTGAGAGCTTTGTCACTTGTTCCAGTCTTTTTCTTTGTTTTTTGTTTTTTTTTTAATATATATTGCTGTTTGGGATCTTGGTCTAGTAAAATGTAGCTAAAAGAAATACTAAATTGGTTGGGGAACCACAAGTGTTTGACCTGGCATCAAGCAAACAAACTGAGAGAAAACGAGTTCATGATATACACTATGTCATAATATTTGTTTGGTTATTGCTTCCTATTTTTTCTTGATTTTTAATATGGCCGTCACAGATGGCCACTGATATTGAAAAGGTTCCCCAGCCCTAAATAAAGCAATAAGAATCATGGAACGCTGGTAGTATTTTTGCTGCTTTTCGACTGCAGCTCTTCTATGTGTAGGGGACCACTGAAAGCCAGCATTTTTTATTTTCTTTGTAATGTTGGAGTGTACACGCACATGTTCTCCACAGATGTGTGTGTGGTGTTTTGTGGCAGCTAAACACCTTTCAGGTTGCATGCTGTGGCCATTTGACAGCAGCTTGCAATGACTAAATGGCTGATATCCTTTTATGTCCTTGCAATGCCAGCAAGAGGCTAACTACAAAAAAAAAAAGACGGCTTGCTCATATAATTATACTTCACACTTTGCAGTAAAAAAGAGTTTAATTATTCTAATGGTGTTCACGTATGTTTATTAATCATTAGGGCAACTGGAAGCATGGCGCTGAGGTCTTTTGAGGGTGTGTTTGAACACAACCAACCACCTCATCCAATTACTTCTTAAGCACCCTTTTTTTTCGGACTTTTTCACTGTTACTGTTTTACGGACAAATGTTGACCTGTGTCGCCGTCTGGTCGTGTGCATGTGTGTGCCGCTATGTGAGCATGCGTGGATGGATGGATGAATCCATTACAAGAGGATGGCCAAGGTATGAATAAGTCAAATATGTGTTGTCACCCGTGTCTGTATATTCACAGGATTTTGCAATAATACCACCGACCACAGAACTCTTACAAAGGTGGCCAAAGAAGACCCCGTTTATTATTACAGGGAGTAGCACCATTTAATGTTCAAATAAATTTCTCCTTTTGCAAGTATGTAAATCAGATCAGGATATAAATGCATAAAATGATTCAAATATTTTTTTTCTGTATATGAGACAGCTGCATCACACTCTCCCACGTATTGAATTACACTTGTACATTTTTAAATCTCGATCATGATTGTGTATTACTGTTGTTCTTACCTCATTGCAACAACTGGAGGGACTGTGACTGCGTGCTTGGTGCGCGCACACACAGACCAACATGGATGTGGGTGGTTGGTGCATTTGTGTGATCTCAAATCAAATCATGCACTTGAACAAAGTTGGCTTTGCGTGTTGACTAACTGTGTGCGGGTGACTTACCAGATTTTGTCATATATGCATTTGTGTCCATTTGGAAACAGAACTAAAAAAAAGAGAGGGACTCTTATGTCAAATTTATTTATAGTAGTCTTTGTATTACTGGAGAATCCTGTGTTCAGATGTACTTTGTATATAACAATGTTGTACATTACAGAGGTACACTCTTCTTTTTGGTACAATATTGTACAGTAATATCAATGGTGATTTAATCAAATAGGCCTTATATAATTCTATGTGTAGTTATGGTTGTAGATCTTTTTTTAAATAAACATTGCTTGCTATCAATTTTGAGTTGTATCATCTCTCTGTCCAACATCGAAATAGGTTGTATGTGCAGACAAAAGTAAACATGTTAAATATCTAGATTCCACACTGCAGGTGATTGAAGCATAAAAAATGAAATTTATACAGGACAGTAACTTAACGATAGTAAATTTTACTCGATTTCCCCCTCCTCTCGAGCTCGAAACGATTTCCAATGCTGGGAAATGGCCCGAAACTTCTTCTTCTTCTTCTCCTTTCGGCACGTCCCTATTCAGGGGTCGAAACATTCGGGGGAAATCCCGTGACTACAACTCCCAGAAGCCACCTCGCCCAACTCCATAACTTTTGGGATATTGCTTTTGTAACGTTTAATAATTTAGTAACGCTTAATTAGATAATGAAGACAAGTTATTTGTACTTAAGTATTATTGAATAAATTATAGGTTTTAATACTATTGCTGATGTTTTACCGTTGTTTGTATATCAATACGTTGTTATGTCACATGACCCACTTTAGAGGAGCTATTTTAGATTTAGCAATGAGTAAACTTTGTCGCGGTTCCCCTCTAAAATCCACTTCTTCAAGAGTTGACCTTTAGCGGGGAAGCAACTTTTGGACATAGTGTCACTTGTTTGAAACAGTTCAACTTCGCAAACTCAGCTTCATTTCCGCAATCAACAACTGAACGGCTGTAGCAGCGAGCAGACACTTCCTCCCGTGAGTTGGAAACACTGAAATGTGCTTAGCGACGCAACTTCGAGTCTAAATACAAAACGTTTGTGGCTCCATAAACCAAGAAAAGGATAAGGATAGTTAGCAGCAGCATTCATTGCAAAGGGCTTTCACCCTCAGGTGTGGTTTATTTTGCTCCGGACGTTTTTACATCTACAATTTTGCCATTTCGTACGTCTTTTCTTACATACGAATCCGATTTAAAGGCACTTTTTGGGGCGTAAGCTGATTACTGATACTCCTGAGTGGTAAGCTACAATACAATGTTCTGTTTGACATTTTTTATCGTTCTATTTCTGAAAAAAATCACCGTTAGCTAATCCTAAGCGTTTGGGTTATATATTTGCATGTGTAGGTACACTAGTAAGTCTTTATTTGTGTTCCACAGTTTGACACATGGGAAATTAAGCTTTGTGTGTATTTTTCTTTCATTCTGCCATAATGTCAGAGATGACAGCCAGCACCCCCAGCTACCTGTGGTCCTTACAGGATGTCCTGGGTCAAGGGGCTACTGCCTGCGTCTACAAGGCTCGAAATAAGGTAACCTCATTTTTATTTTTTTTCAAACACGATTGTGTTTGTCTTCCTCACGTCTGTGCTGCTCACATTTTGGCTGGGATAACATCACTCTGGTATTGCCCAAAACGCTGACCTTTTTCCCCTTTCTGGTTATTGTGTGTGTGATTTTTTTTTAAATTTGTTTAGCGGACGGGTGAGTTGGTAGCCGTCAAGGTTTTCAACTTGGCGAGCTACAACCGCACTCATGAGGTGCAGATGAGGGAGTTTGACATGCTGAGGAAGCTCAACCACAAGAACATTGTCAAGCTTTACGCCGTGGAGGAGGTAAAGCTGCCATTTCATAAAGGGACAACATATAATTGAAAAAGTGTACACTGGATTAGTTAAACAGACGCATTCATCTCATCGCTGTGTAAAAGTAAAATGTGAATGTTATGGGAAAATTCTCTTTTGCAGCTGCCATCTAAACAGAAGGTTCTAGTGATGGAATTCTGCTCGGGGGGAAGTTTGCTCAACGTGCTTGAAGAGCCAGAAAATGCTTTTGGCCTGGCTGAGGCGGAGTTTCTCACTGTATTGCAATGTGTTGGTAGGTTGAAGTTCACCCTGAAAGGACAAACGCGGTCCATTGCCAGTATTTGTCCCTTTCGTGAAAAAAATTAGAAAGAATACTTCACAGGATCTAACTGTTGCCATCATCAGTCTTAATCACAATCTCGTTTATTGGGTCACACGGGTAGCCCTTCACATTAAGCCGTAGACAAAAAGTAGCTCTCGGTTTCAAAAAGGTTAGTGAACCCTGACTTAAAAGCATTTCACATGAATAATTGCTCACTTCCTTTCTATTTTAGTACAGGGAATGAACCACCTACGAGAGAACGGTGTGGTGCACCGGGACATTAAACCAGGCAACATAATGCGTCAGACGGGTGAGGACGGCAGGTCTGTCTATAAGCTAACTGACTTCGGAGCGGCGAGAGAGTTGGAGGATGATGAGAAGTTTATGTCCATTTATGGAACTGAAGAATATCTGGTAAGGAATCACAAGAAGAGAAACGGTTTGTGTGATATTGGCGTGCTGCAGAAATAAGTTTTACGATGATCGCTTAACGAGTAAGCTCTACTCACAGTGGTCTTGTACATGCATTGTGTTTTCTGTATTGCGATCGTTCCTTGCCAGCTTTTCTTGATAACTGGCATCTTGCATTATCAAAATAAAGTTAGCCTTGGGGAATACCTTCTATTTGCCATAAAATTCTCCTATTCATTGTTTTTGTGCTCAGGCCAAAGCCATGTCTAATAGAAGAAAATAGTGCTTTGCCACCATCTTGTGGTATCTGAAGTTCTGCAAATTGTAAAATTTTACTTCATAACAAAGAAACGAACAGAAATGGTTACAGTATGGTGATGTTGTTGTTACAAGCCATGTTGCGCAATAGAAGTAAAGGACTACAAATAATCCAAAGTTGCTGCAACGCAAGAACAGGAAGTCTGAATGATTAAAGAGACATTTGAACTATGCCAGACAGCGGCAGAAAGGTGTCAGAGAATCTTGCGACCTCTTGTGGTGAAAATGATTACTGTACCACCTTCATTGGTCTGTAGGTTAAAACACATCAAGTTGATAAAGGAGTACATATATGCAGAAGTGACCATTTCTGGTTGACAATATTTTGAGTCCCGGTAAAATATTTCATGTTTACTTAGGAGCATAAGCATTTTATCAAATTGGAGATGAGAAACACAAATTTAAAAAAAAATCCAGGGTCAACCTAGTAGCCAAGCCAAAAATCGACCAGAAATTGTTTTAACCGACTCAGTGACACCCACACGCTACCTTCCGGCCATTTGTTAAAGTTAATCTTTTCGATGGATTCTGAAGTTGACTTCTTCCGAGTCATATTTTTTTCTAGAAAAAGTCTACTGTATATTTGTTTGTGCGTTTGTTGATAGCATCCAGACATGTATGAGCGCGTGGTGCTCCGTGCGCATCACCAGAAGGCGTATGGAGTGAGCGTGGACCTGTGGAGCGTCGGGGTGACCTTTTACCACACTGCCACAGGGTCTCTCCCCTTCATGCCATTCAAAGGGCCCCGCAGGGACAAGCAGACCATGTAGGTCTTTAACTGCGCTTTTCGATGGCACTGTCAGCACATGTTTATCGAAGTTATTGTTATTAACCCCCGGTTTTGTTGTGCAGGTATAAAATCACCACAGAAAAACCACCGGGGGCTATTTCTGGATTACAGCGTGTCGAGAACGGACCAATAGAGTGGAGCTCATACCTGCCGGACAGCTGCCAATTGTCGCAGTATGCCACTTCCCCGATTATTGGAACTTGATTGCTCTTTTAAACAGCATTTATGGTTCATAAAAAGTTAGAAAATGCTCTTTGTGATACATCGGTGTCTATCACGGCTATTTCTTCTTGCTCACCGTGTCACTTTTGACCGTCTCCATAGGGGTCTCAAGATGCATCTGGTTCCTGTACTTGCCGGTATACTTGAGGCAGACCAGGAGAGGTGTTGGGGCTTCGACCAGTTCATCACAGCCACAATAGACATCCTGCAACGACAACCAGTGCACCTGTTTGCTCTCCAGCAGGCTATGGCGCACTGCGTGTACATACATCACTACAACACGTGAGTCCGCACATTTGAGAATGTTTGTTGGTCAACACAAAGCAGTTGAAATATCAGCAGACAATTAGTATTGTTTGTATTGTATAGCCACAACTTTCTCGTATTTTGTCCATCTACCCAGGGTATCCGGATTCTTTGAGGAGGTGGCAATGCAGACTGGAATTGATGTCCAGCACCAACAGCTGCTCTACTTGGGCCATGAACTCCCACTAGAGGGCAGCATGAAGGTGGTCAACCTCCCCCACACTACAGCCACAAGGCCTCTCATCCTGCTGAGTCGCGGGCAAGAAGCAAACAGCAGCCTGCCCTTCAGGGAACGTAAGACGCACATACTTTAATTTACAATGTATTGGACATGAGCGCCTGTCATTAACGAGTAGCTTTTGTGTATATGTGGCCCATCTGTAGCAGAGACTCCGATCATTCCAGCCAAGTTTGACGTCATGGCCGACTACAACTTCACCAAGGTCGCACCTTTTTCATTTATTTGATCATGTTGCTACATGAAAAAAAAAAAATCCTCAAGCCATGATTACCGTTCCCTTTTTGATGTCATTGCAGTTAATAGTTGGAGTGGTCCACCAGTATCTGAGGATTGCACAACTGCTGCACTCACACAGAGAGCTTTTGCTGGAGGGGTATTACAGTTACATGTGAGGAGCACTCTTGTTCTTATTTACACTTCGCACTGGAATGTTCTACCACAAAATCAGAATGGCCGTTCTTTTGTCATATCACGTGTCATCCATCCAGCCGTCCATGAATCAGAAAGTTAAGTAACACAAGGACCAACAAAGAGAAAACACGCTACATGTACAAACTATACCGTATACATATACAAAATATTAAACGTCACATCTTCTCTACAGGCATTACTGAGGCATGGCTTTCTAGAAAATGCGATGGGTCTCATCTTCAAGCTTCTCGCCTGATGTCAAGTGATTACGATGGCATTTTTTTTTCTAGTGAAAGAAGTCGCTACTGTATTTCAGGATGAAGCTGCGCAGGGAGTGTGGGGAAGCTATGCACAGTATTGCGCAAATCGGCATTAGGCTCAAGTCTTGCCTCGGCGTACAACACAGGATATTCACTCTGTGAGTCTGCTTTTGCACACGTTCCGGGCAAAGTAAAAGGAATTTTAAACAGGCCCTCATCCTAACTTTTTTTCCTCCCGTGTCTTTCGCATAACGAAGAGATCGTTGCGCTTCAGAAAACCTGAGTGCAGCTGATAAGAGTGACAGGTTGCAGCAAGTAAGTGAGCCTTTGCTGAGCTGTAAACACAGAAGCGGGACATTTTGCGTCGCTTCGACTGGATCAATGGGAAAGTTCACACTAGTTTCAAATTTAAGAAAAGCACATTTGTCTTGGGTTCTGATATATGTTGGTTTGGCTGGAAAGGGATACATAACTAAACACAACAAAGATCAGGCGCTTCCTTCTTTTGGCACTTTTGTTAATAACAGCGCGAACCGGAAATGCCGACGTTACTTGTGACACATTCGAGGTATCATAATGTGTGGCTGCCGCTTTGATCCTTTCAGGTCAATGATCACCTGCCTGGGTACGTCGCAGGCATTCAGGAATTTCAGAACCGCCTGGATCACTTGCAGATCGAGCAGGCCAAGCTTGCAGAGACGCTGAACAGTGACAAAAGGTACAAAGCAGGAAGTGCCCCGTTCGCGGCGGTGTGAACTTTGACCTCTTGTTTCCTCCAGCTGTCAGAAAATGCAGATGCTCCTTCAAAAGATTGTGGCGATTCATCAGCTTTACCGTAAAGACAGACTCTCAGGCAGTATGCGTGCGTCTCTTAACTTCACATTCCCGATTGTGTTGCCCTGTCTAACTTTTTTATTTTCTTCACAGAGTTGCTATATAATGACGAACAAATCCACAAGTTTGAAAAGTATGTGTCACACTTAACCGTTGGACTGCTCTTGCACCCTAAGAAAGTGATCGCGTAACCTGATTGTCATCGTCTTTGATAGAATCCAACTGTCCTCACACATCAAGCGGGTTAAGTCTCTCACCAGAGAAAACTGTGCGCTAAAATACAAGGATCTCTTGGAAACTACTAGGACATGGAGCAGGTCAGAGCATCTTTGAACCGCAGAAACGTGACGCTTACCCGAAGCCCGGATTCAATTCAGCTCAGACAGAACCTATTTTGACAAATACACATTTAAAGTCCCTGTAAAGCCTTTTCTCAGTGTAATGTGCAAGCACTCAGGGCAGACAATGAGGCGCTTTCAAGTGGCCACACCAGTACAAGAGATTTCCCCCCCCCCCCCCCACACACACACACACACTTTTTCTTTTCTCCTCCTGGCACTTGCGCCTTTTCCACTGTCACAGTGCATACACTCACAGCCGACAACGAGGTGCTCTATAGGTTTTTGGGATTAGCCCTGAATCATGAATGGATTTAGAAACAGATCTCTGAATTCACTTTACAGGGTCTTATAGGAAGCAATGGAATTAATTTGTCTCGACTGTTTCTGCAGAATTTTACTCGAAATGCAGAGCCATCTACAAGACTTCAGTTCCTTCTGCACGGGCCTGTTGGCTGATCTTGCGATAACTGAGCAGCACCAAAACAAAGTGAGCTGGAGCCAGTCACCACTAGTCACTCTAAATGAAAATGATTTTGCTTTGCATAACTGAATGAATATTTTTATTATATATTTGATTATATTTTCATATTAGGGCCACACTGGAAAGATACAAATTCAAAGAATAGATCTTTATTTGTCATTTTAAGAGGAAACTAAATTATTTTCACATTGAATGGCAAAATTTGCCCTCCATTTATTTAATGTTAAATACTGCTATTTAAGTGATTAGATTACCGGTATTGAAAAACCCAGTCGGTGTAGGATCGCCAACACTTGCTCTATACTGCTTATAGTGATGGAGTATCCTAAAACCTTACTAGTCGTCATCTTATAGGTATACGTTTCTACCATTGAAATTGTGACTTTATTCTTCCAAGTGTGACCCAAATCTTTTAATCCTATTAATTTACCCATTTTCAGTTGTCACTTTTTTTTTTTTAACGTCTTTGAATGCAACGTGTCATCTGTTTACCTCAGACACTGGACAAAATCTTGGTCACACCACAGTCAAGCAGCACAGGACAGCAGCAACAGGAAATGCCACTCAGGGACAAGGAACAAATGGTGTCCAGGTTTGTGAGTGTGTGTAAATGCAAATGACAGACAGCTTTCATGCTAGCATGTCTTTCTTTGGCCTAGGATGTACCACCTAAAAGAAGAAATGGAAATTCTGGTCCGGGAACTTCAGTGTAGTAACGCCATTATTGAGAGGTTGGTAAAATGGCTTCGATGTTGTTCATGACCAGATTCATTTTCCCGTGCCGCGTGCACTTATTTTCTTTCTTTCTTTATTTTTTTGCAGTCTGGAAGCAGTGAACTCTGCAGTGGCTGTGAGACCGAGCTTGGCACGGCCTGCCACACTGTGACAGGCGGCTCGTTTTAATTGCCTGGTGAACATTTGCTGGATGACTGCTGTGACGCTATCAAAGATTGCCTGCTGCAAGAGGGAGCTGAAGACGGCAGATTGCGAACCAATTAAGAGATAAGACTCACAGTTGGGGAGAAAACACCGCTGAGGAATTTTGTGTGTGTGGTTTGCCAGCGGGCACTTCAATGCAAACCTCATTAATACTTTTTATCCATCCAACCATGCATTTTCTATGCTGCTTATCCTAGTCAAAGTCATGGTCATGCTTATTCAAGCAATCACAGGGCATAATACATTTTAGTGTTGTTAAATTTGTAACATACTGTCATGTTTGGGGCATCTCATTACATATTTACACATATCACTCCACTAGGGATGTCACGGCATTCTGACCTCATTGAAGGGGCTGAAGTCTTCCGTCTCACTATCTAGCCTGTCATATCTCCCATGATTTTTTGTTTTGTTTACTGCAGTCACACACTGTGATTAAATCAGTCAAAGCCCCCTCAACCAGAGCGTAGTTTCAAGTCATTTTCTAGCCTGTCCCTGTGTTGTTGTTTCCATGTTGCAAGACCCGCTTTTGTTGTGACATGATCCACACAAGACAAGCACAGATTATAGATTCAGAATGGGGAGTTTTTTTTTTAAAGGTCAGGCTTGAATGCCCTTTCAGATGCTTCAATTGTGCACAGGTGAGCGCACTTTGTTTTAACCCTTTCGGGGACAGCGGTTACTCCAGTGGACAGCTTGTCATGTGATCAGGTGACAGGGTGCATGAAAGGGTTAACATTTGTTACATATGTAGCTTTCGTTCTGTTTTGCTGTGGGGGATCATTTTCTCTCATACAAAAGAAAAGTGAAAGTAAATACTAGCTTAATGCCCCCTCAAGTTTCCACGACTAACGGACATGCGAAGATGACTCACCGTGTGGTTGAAATAAAAAAGAAACAAAAACTCCTTGTTGGGGATGTTCATGTGCCTGTGTTTTCTGCAGCCCAAATGTCACAAGTTTCATACTTAATGTGTGCTTATTTAAATGTCCTTTTGTGGTTGTGAGCTCAAGTCTGATTATACATGGGGGCAAATTGTAGGTTACAAAACAAGCAAGCTAGGTATCAGCTGCATTCAGTGCTCCTTCCAACGTTATGATTCTTGTTTGTTCTATCTTGTTTGTCCAAATCTGTTGCCACCATCCTTAAATCACCGTGGTTCACGCGACTTAATGTCGCAACTGGCCCTTTTCCCCCCACCTGGTTTCTATTAACTTATTTTTTCCATGTTTTGTCATCATCTGTGGAGGTGGACCGACAATAACAAGCCTAGTTGGACAAAGAGTACAAATTACAGATGTTTTCAAGTGTAGGGACGAATTGTAAAACTTTCCAAGAAAAAAAAAGTGTTGCGAAAATATTCGCACTTTGTTACTTTCCACCGGGCACATGCACACACAGACATGATCATAATTTTACTGATAAACACAGAGAGGACAGTTAAACAAACGCCATCTGTATTGTATTTGTGGATGTTTTTTGTTTTTGAGTGAAAGAGATCATGGATGCATCGACTTTGATCCCAAAATGATTCGAACATGAAAACACAGTTGAGCAGAGTCGCGCCACGCGTGTTTTAAACAGTTATGGAATTATATTGATTGGAGACTCCATCTTAAAACTATTCTGATGGTTTGTTGAAAGAAATTGATCAATACAGACAGACTGCTCGTCTTCAAATGGGGAAGGTGTATCTGTTCATGTCATCATCAGTGGCAATGTGTCTCGAAACACAATTGTAACGTAATAATGGCGGACAAAATACCACAGGGATTTCGTGTGTGCGGTTTTCACTTCATTGCAAACCTCATTAATAAATTGTATCTATCCAACAATCTACTTTCTATACTGCTTATCCTTTTCAAAGTCATGGGAAGGAATTCTATCGATCAGATGACAGACTGCATCCTGAACTGGTTATTCAAGCAATCACAGGCCACGATACGTTGTGCTAATAAACCAGGAATTCATGTTTTCTCTTGCCAGTTTTCTGTCTTTTTCATTTTTGACTGATGACTGGGTTTATTTTCAAGTACCGGTACTGCTTCTTTCGATACTGCTAATTAAATAATTTATTGTCCAAAAATGAATTCATTTTGATGCACATGAAAATTCTTATGTCGCCATCTCTGTAGCAGTTGGTGAAAATATTTACAAGAGAGTTGTACAAAATACACACAGTCGCTCACAGCTTCTTTTGTTCTTGCTTACTTATGATAAAACCATGTCAAGTCAAGTACAACTTTATTGTCAAATGTGCTGTACAGTATACGGAAGCAGTTGGTGAAAATATTTACAAGAGAGTAGTACAAAATACACAAAGTCGCTCACAGCTTCTTTTGTTCTTGCTTACTCTTATGATAAAACCATGCAGTGAATATCAAGTCAAGTACAACTTTATTGTCAAATGTGCTGTACAGTATAAGGCACAGATGAAATTTCTTCCCTCTCAAGACAACATAAAACAAGAGTAGCCGCTGCGGGTGTGCGCGCCCCCATCAAAAGAAAAGTTAACATTAAATGACAAAATAATACAAGACAAAACAAACAATCGTGCTATTTTAACCACTTTCCTGCATGCACTTTGATGTCTGAAGCAGTTATAGATGAAAGAGGAGCGAATCAAAGTGTCCTTTTCACCAGTGGATCAATATATATATTCTGTTTCTGTGGCCAGATTATTTACTAGAAATCTGCCGAGCACTCAACAATTAAGACACTTAACGTTCGAGTTGAGAATCCGAGCGCGTTCACGTCGCTTCGGAGAGAGCGCGCCCGTAGGTTTCGAAGAACTCTCGGGTCGTGACGTCACGGTGACACGCTGGTGTCACCCGACAGTTGAGTTAACATTCAAGGCACGGACGGAGCACAACACGGCAGACACATTAAGCAGCTTGCAGCCGCGATGGCTTCTGCGAGTGTGGTGGGCCAACACCCGGCCCAGCACAGGCTGGACTCGGAACCTCTGCTTCGGGTCTTCAAACCGGCTGCCAGCAGGAAGAAAATCACCCTTCCGAGGAAGTCTTCCTGGGAGAAAATGATGTTGAGAAGATGCGGTTCCGTTACCGCCGCGAACCAAGCCGGGACGTGTCATTTGCCTGTAGGACCAACGGGCGACACGGCAGTCGCAACCGGCGGGTCTCCAACGGGTGGGTGCCGACGAGGAGCCTCGTCTGCCCCCGCTTCGCCACGTAGCCCGGACCAAGCCAGGCAGCAGGGCAGCGTGCGCTCCGACTGGAGCTCCCCGGCCGGGGGAGACTCTCGGGACCGCAACGCGAAGGCTGCGCTCCAGTGCGCCCCAGTCGATGTCACGAACAGCGCGTCGGTTGCTTCCCGGCACCGGCAGATTCGACACAGCGGACGGGAGCATACCAACAAAGAGGTCGGACACCAGGGCATTTTTAGCTCGGTGTCCGCCCGGGACGAGAACGGGGGTCTTCCTCTGGAGCGTCTCACGCAGGGCAGGACCGGAGTGGTGAGGTTGGCCCGCACCGAGCCTCCCCGCAGGGAGGCCTGGGCCATCTTCCCGCTCCCGGCCGACAAGGGTGCGGGACACCGGTTCGAAGCCAAGGCCGTTACGCAGGACTGGTGTGACGCTTGCAGCCGTCAGATCACCGCGCAGGCCCTCGAGTGTCAAAGTGAGTACAGTACTCCAATGGTCTCTCGGTATGGGTATTAGTGCACACTTTTGCCTCACGACTAGTAACTGAAAACATACTCGTGACACCAACAGGATGTTTACTAGTGGTGAGGAAAAAGCTTAGTTGCTAGTATGAGGTATTCTCTCACAGCCTTCCATATATTCAGCCTGAACTGGCACTAGTAGTAGAAAAAACAGCTAGTAGGACACACTCACTGAACTAGCGTTCTGTAAATAATTGCCATAGTGCTGAATTGCCTTACTAATTCGCATAAAGAGTGTACTAGTACATGGCATGGACCTTAACATATATATCAAGCATTCCAAAGAAATACTCTGGTCATTTTCCATATATAATAGTAGGCAAAAAGTGGCACTAGTAGTGGGAATAAAATGTACTAGTAGGACACAGTCACTCAACTAGCATTTCATAGTCATTCTCCTCGTCTCTTGCTATTGAGGACAAATGTGTGTACTGTGTACCATTACATGCGATTCGTCTGAATATCAAGGCTATCGACAAAATCCTCGATGGGCTTTCCGCCTACTAGTTATGTGGGGTGAGACATAGTCACTCTACTGGTGTGCGCATAGCTGTTCTACTCGTGCACCGATTTGTCTTATTCGTGAGGACAAAAAGTGCTGTAGTAGCCAGACCTGAAGCACAGGTCATCACGCGGCTCTCGATTTAAAATTGAGTTACAAAATAGTCAAAAGGCTGTCCATGTCGCTGCCGTGGGGCTCAAACCTCTTTATGTCACAATTGCATTTTTTTCATTCATCTATACTGTTGGTCAGGCCACACGTGTGGGTGTATTTATTTATTTATTTTTATTGGTGATCAATCTAAAGTTGAAAATGGCTCGCACTCTTTGACGATATAATGTTCATGGTTGAACGAACTGTTTTGGGGGTTTCTCTTGAAAAGCAATGATTTTGGAGGAACAAGGATTCCGCCCGACGCCAAGCAATACACTAGTAGACATTTCAAAGTCCTCAAATGTTGCACCGCCTAGCAATGCTCAGCGTGTGTGTATTCCAGTATGGGCGGTTATAGCCTCAGATCTCGCGAAGAGAGTACAAGTAGTCAGTTGTTGTTTTGGTAGCTGACATTTTGCTGCACGGATGCTGCCAACATTTACCCGTGGAAAGCTCATTATCTTGTCCTTCCAGCTTTGCCTCCTTGTTCTCGCTTCGGGATTTATGGCTCTTGTTTCAAGAGAAAGAGAGGAAAAATGGTGGTTTTTGTTTTGTCATCTTGAGTGATGTGTTGTTGCCTTTTGCATTCCAGAAACAACCGATTTAAATGGGGCCTATTTATGTGCAGTCTGGTGAACACGTTGGAAGGGTTCTGCTGGGGTCACGTGGTTACTGCTGACATCACAAACACCTGTACTGCCTCAGTCAATTGGGTTACAGTGTCTCCATGTCTTTGGACAGACTGCCTTGGCGGAAATGTATGCAAGCAGTGTGCTCTAATTATCCTAATAACAATAATAGTGCCTTTCAAAGGACCCAAGAACGCTTGACAACTCATGTTCCTGGCTGTCTGCTTTGATAAGACTTTTTCTTTTAACGTCTAGGGAAGCAGTATCACAGATTTTTAATGGGGACGACAAATAGAAAATTTAAGACAAAGGAGACATAGGATATGATGACAAAAAGTCGTGCAAGATTGTAGTGATGCAATGTATATGGCGTGCAAAGTTTCGCGCGAGTGTCCGCAGCGCTGCGGGGCTGTCTGATTTAATGTTCCATCAGCGAGTGGCCGCCCAGTGAAGCGAGAGCAAAGATTACTGTCGGTCATGAATTTCTTCGGAAGGCACACAGGACCAAAAAAAGTTCTCTTTTTTTTTTTTTTTGAAGGGGGGGTGGTCATTTTATTTGCTGGCCCTAAGAATAAATGGTCCACTCTGCAGCGTTTTCTCACAAAACATCAGAGATGGATGTGCAGCCATGCGGGGTAACATAAATGTCGGTGTTTCTGGATATTTTTGTGGCTTGGAAGAACCAAAATAGAAACTGCCCATGCATGCACACATGATCCACTTTGAAAAAAAACACCCATAAAATCACAGGGATTGAGTCTGGATTTCTTGCAACCAAAAAACAATCTTTTTACAAATTGCGTGATACATCTTTGGTCTTGTCGTGTCCTTCTCCAGGTCTTCCCGTTTTCAGTTTGCATGCTTCATCATCCTTATGATGCTGCACGTTTGGTTTTTCAATGTTGTCTAGGACGTATTTTTGAACCCGAGTTTACTGTATCAGAAGAGGCAGAGAGGGGGGAGGCAGAGAGGGGGGGAGGGAGGGAGGGAGATTGGCAGCCCGTTTAATCCCTGCTACGTGTCTCCTGCCCGGGATTATGTCTGATGGATGGAGAGACTGGGATTACAGGCATGGCAGACGAGTCAGATGTCACATTTGGATTTAATTAAGGCTTTGAGGGAACCGTGCTGTTGTGGCACCATTTAGCACCTGTAAGTCTTAATTAGGTGTTCCGATGCAACAACGGTACTGCTTTTGCTGTATGTTGATCAACATGACAGGGTCTCAAAAGAGAACACAAAAGTGCATCAACATTTTCCCAACATTTTTGTTATCCCTCTGGCTCCCCGCGAGCCTTTTAGTTGTTGCACTGGCCCACAAGGTGAATGCCCTGGGAAGCAAATACCCCTGAACCGATTGTTAAAAAGTACAATGACCTTCGGCCTGTGACCCAGTCACAGAAAGTGTAATATTATTGCCCGAATACTTCTGGTACAAGGGTCGTGGTCGTGTGGTGGTGAGTAACCCTCGCTTGTAGCCGCGGCAATCCGGGTTTGAATCCTGGTCACGGCAGTGTGTTCTTTATCGGGCACCTGAACTAATGTTGAGGTAGACTTTATTTTTCAGACCATCTCTTCCTTGGTCTCTTCTTGTCTACACAGTGCAGGCCTTGTTTCCGTCGAGCCTCTCATCTGTTCCACATTGGTTCTCCACAAGGCGCCATTCACAGTGGAAGAACCCCCCCGCCCCCCACCCTCCAAAAAAAAGGTTGTGTTCAATGGCTCACAAACTTTTTGTGCCGTCGCAGCTCTGCCAGACATGTGATGGACGTTCTTTTTAAAAACATTCCGCCGGAGCTGACGAGTCGTCTCTAAGAAAGAAACTACTGAGCGTAGAAGAAACACCATCGTCCTTCAACTGACTCCATTAATTCATCTGTTATGCCCCCCCCCCCTTCCCAAATATTAAACCGTACATGAGTTTGCATCACACAGCGTAATTTTGATTCACGATTGCAATGGCAAGTTGCATTTAGAAGATGAGAGATATATTCTACGCAGAAAGGCCTTGTTGCCACCATGCCCTGCTCGTAGGGAGGACGTTCAGGCGTTCTATATTTAGATTGTCCTTGGTGGTTGGATAGTGGGACCGCAGAAGGACAAAGCAAAGGCGCTCCTCAGAAAATCTTGCCTTAAGGCTTTGTGATCCTAATAAACGATGAGAACACAGGTGAAATCAAGGTACGGTAGAACTTTTCACGCTGGAATTCCCAGCCACGCTGCCACATTAGTGTGCTGTGAGAAATGATCCAATTTCACTTTATTTCAAATTTGAACCGGATTTCACACTACGCAATTAAACTCGGGGTTAGAGTTTCAGTCTCCATTTTGTGACATTTCTCTTTGGTATGGTATACCGTGACTTTTTTTCTAGAGGAAAGTATGTGCCTTGACCCAATAGAGCACAGGTGTCAAACTCAAGGCCCGGGGGCCAGATCTGGCCCGCCACCTCATTTTATGTGGCCCGCGAAAGCAAATCAGACATGTCAACGTCTACCATGATAACTCAAATCTGAGCCAAAATTTCACCTCCTCATATGTAATAAATAAGACAGATATTGTAAGCATTTTCTTGTTACCAAATCTTAACTTAAACAATCGTTGAATCAACCATTATTCTTGACTCCTTTAAATACTTTCACAGTCATAACGGCCCTCGAAGGAAAACGGTCACTTCAATGTGGCCCGCGACGAAAATGAGATTGACACCCCTGCAATAGAGGTTGGAAAGGCTGCCCTGCGATTGGCTGGTGACCAGTCCAGGGTGTACCACGCCTCTCACCTATCGTCAAGTGGCATACACCTGTGCTCTTAATGAGCATATAGATAACAGAAAATGGAAGGATGTGTGCTGAATAAACCCTTCTGCTCCCTTAAAACGTAGGGCTTGCCTGTTAATAACCAGAAGCGCACTAAAAAGAAGCAAGGGAAACACTCGAGATGATTCACTTGATGTGCAAAAATCGAACCTATGAAACTGGATTGTCCTTGCAAAGACGGAATGCGAGTGTCATTCATGGTAAATCTTGTCGTAATATAAGCAAGAAGCAAGAAGGTGAACGCTCCTGCTGGAAGGAAAGAGGAGAGCTGTTATGCACAGTACAGTGACGCTGATATCGCATGTGGGGGTCTCTGTCTCTTTAAGCTAGCTGCACATCACTGCGGAGTGTGGGTGCTGCAGTACAGACCGACAGAGGGCTGGAAAAGCGTTGCGCTCACAGGAATCGGACCATGGAGGGAAAAGGAGCACCTCGGGGCCGGGAGGTCCCAGCAAAGTGAGAGGCGACAGAGCATTAGCGGGGTGAGGAGTACCGGTGGAGGGGTGGCAGAGCGAGCGCAGAAGGGGCTCTTTATTCGAAGCGTGGCACCGGTGGCAGAGTGGCTACGCTGGGATGGCAGAGGGGGGCCATGGGCGGGCTGGCGTTGGGGCAGCCCTCTGGGGGACAGGGGCAGGCGGGGGCAGCAGAGAAGAGCCAGCGAGGGTTATGGGACGATGCCCTCCAGATGGTGCCACCATGCTCCGTCCATGGCACAGGTAGCACCTGGGCAAGACGGAGGGGGCAGGGAGACGGCGGTGGAGGGCCGGTCCGGGAATGTGGAAGGTGTCACGGTGGGGAGAACGTTCTTCGGTCAGGTGTCTCTTCGTCTGGAGGAGGTGCGGGCGGACTCG